TCACTACATTCGTTGTCAATAAAACTCATGACTGCTGATTTTTTCTTACTGAATCTAAAATTTAACCTATTGGCCTCTTTACCGCAGATGTCCATCGATATCTGCAAATCTTCCTTGTTGTTGGCCATTAGCACTATATTATCTGCGTACATTAATGCTGGTAGTGCCTGATCAATAAGTTTTCCTTGTTTGACTAAAGAGAGGTTGAAGCCCAGTCCACTTCCCTCTAATTTGGCCTCTAATTCTTGTAGGTACATCATGAATATTAAGGGGAACAGGGGACACCCCTGCCTAAGTCCCCGTTTTACGTCTGCAGGCTTGGATACCTGTTTTTCCCACTTTATAACTACCTTGTTACCTTTATAGATATCCTTTAAAAGATTAGTGACTACATGTTCCACGCCTAGTGTGTCCAGTATTCCCCACAATTCCTCTTGAACCACGCTATCGTGCGCTCCCTTGATATCCAAAAATGCTAGCCACAGGGGCCTGTGTTCCTTTTCGGCTATTTCGATGCACTGTGTCAGTGAGAAGAGATTGTCTTCCAACCTCCTGTGTTTCCGAAACCCATTCTGCAGTTCCCCCAGCACCAGCTCATCCTATATCCATGCCTGCAGTTTTTCCTTTATAATCTGCATCGCCAGCCTATAGACCACTGATGTCACTGTTATAGGACGGTAGTTGTTTATGTCAGCTTTGCCCCCTTTAGAGATCATGCTCATCCCGCTAAGTTTCCATCCATCGGGAACTTCACCATCGATTATTATTTTGCTCACTGCCTCTCTCGAAGCCTGCTTAGACTTCGGACATAATTTCTTTATCAGCATAATCGGAATGCCATCTGGGCCTGTTGATGTACTACTAGGAACCCTTTTCTCAGCCCTTTCCCACTCTCGTTGTGAAAATGGAGCCATTGCACCGCTTGATTCGTACTTGTCTATTGTGGTGCATAAAGTACTTTGTTGAAATTTTTTTGTCACTCTTGTTCTTATATGTTCAATAGCTTTGTCCCCTTCTAGCCTAGCACCTTGGGCTGTAGTTATAAAACTCTGCTCTAGGCTCGTCTCATTTCTTAGGGAGTTTAGATGGTTCCAAAATTTCGCAGCGGCCTTTCTATCGTTTTTATGTACTTTTGCCAGCCACTGAGCTCCCTTTCTTCTAATCTTTTCATTGATCAGAAGGGATGCATCCTTTCTACAGCTTAGAAAGCTTTCCCATTTTCTTTCAACATCATCTGTCGGTTCACCCCGCTGCTTAGCATGTGTGTGTTCCCTAGAGGCTTCCTGACGTTTTGCTATGGCTCTCTTAACTTCCTCATCCCACCAACTTTTGCGTTTGTGTCTTCTTTTCCGGGGTGACTTGTCACGCGTCTTAGCAAGCTCTAGCTCAAAGAGTCTAATTAGATTTGTGTATGTCCACACTGTCTTATTATCCTCCGTGATTACTTTCTCAATTTGTTTAGTGGCTATTTCAATTTGCCTTTCTGGATAAAAATTTTTCTGTAGTTGCTCATCTTGTTTCCTTCCCACTTTCACTGCTCTTCCAAAACTTAGCTTGATACGTTTGTGATCACTACCCAGACTTCTGGAGCCACCTTCATCTATGTGCATTCCCCTGAGCTTATCATACATCCTATGTGACATCAGTGCATAATCTATCGTCGACTGCAGCCTTCCTACCTCCCTTGTTATTTGCCCTTTACACTTCTCGGTACTGCTGCAAATGATCAAATCAAGCCTTTCACACATATGCATGATCATTTTGCCTGTCGAGTTGGTATACCCATCTATATCTTCTATGTGCGCATTCATGTCTCCTACTATAAATATGTCGCACTCTCTTCCTAATTCCTGAATGTCCTTTGATATACACTCTACCATTGCCTGGTTTTCCTCTCTGGCCTTTGCTCCCGTCCACAAGTACACGAAACCAAGGAGTGTCACTTGACCTGCCACTTTCCTTTTTAGCCATAAATGTTCCTTGCACTCCTGCTTGACCCGTTGGCAGTCTGTACTTTTATGAATGAATGCCCCAATACCACCCCCCTTTCTGCTGCCTTCTGTTCTATTATAATAGAACAGAAGGCACGTTAAACACGAGCGCCATCTGGCACTTATCTTCGAAAACGAAGGCATGCACGACCGCGGAGAAAGATGTGCGCCAGTCACGGAGATGATAAGGTGTAGAATGGAAAGCGACGGGCAGGTGCCACCACCGTGCCGTCGTAGCAAAGCGTTGGAAACACCTTCTTCAGCATCGCGTTGCACTGTCAGCGCAGCGCCTTAAACGCTACAGTCCTTAGCGTGTTTTGTGCATGTCTCCTAGTATAAAGGCAGACATACAAAACATAGACATGCTGTTATGGCGCCTCAGGTATGCGCAATATTTGCTTTTTTTAATTGACAATCGCACAACTATGAACGCTAAACCTTGAGCATCCACAACGCCAACCCCATCCGCAGCACCCATTGGTGTGTGCTGCGGATGGGGTTGGCCGTTCTGTGCCGTTTAAGGTATAGTTAGGGTGAACAAACAGACAAAGGTACAGACAGACAGACAGACATACAGACAGACAGACAGACAGACATACAGACAGACAGACCAAAATTTTTTCGTCGAAGGTCGCCAAGAAAAACTATCGTCTTTAAAACAAATATTACGCATATCTGAGGTGCAGCATCAATACGTCAATATTAGTGTCTCCTTATTTAGGAAATGCATAGACACGCAATTCTAGGGACCACAGTGCTGATAATACGCTGCCCTAACAATGCGACGTTATGAAAAAAAAAGTGTTCACTACGCTTCGCTAAAACAACACAGTGCTGCCACCTGTTTCATTAGATTCGCAGTGACTGGTAATGTCGAATGTTATGTAATTGTTTTAGAACGATTTAAAACTGTGCTATGTAGGCCAACCTTTCGAAATTATTTTATTGCAATTGTGAAATTGCAGTCGGAATGTGAACTTTCAGTCATTTATGGAGGGGATATCCTGAAATGCTGGTCTCCCTTTCAGAATATGGGCTCACACAGCGAAACCAGTTTCTCAGAGCAATGCATTTCGCTTGAAGATTTTTGTAATGATATTAAACGTCGAAGCTCTTATGCATTGGGGATTTCCTGACGAAGTATTACACCAGCAGAATAGTTAGAGGTCTTTGATTTGCTACTGGAGGTATTTATCTTGAGGCCACTGAATCATGCCGCTGCACATAAGACTGGTGTAGAGACAGGTCCTCTGTTGACGGAAACACCTGCGTGAAGGGCGTGTCCAGATTGGGCTCTCCCGCTAAAGAATAGTAACCTATTTGCATGAGTCTATGGGTGATTGACAGTTATGACTCTTTTTGACAGACCAGTGCCTTGCTCAATCAATACTTGAGCAGCCACTTGCCATTAAGCGGTGAGAAATATGGTAGTTGCTCACTGGAGTGTTCCCTGTAACAGTGGACGGTACGCAACAGAGTGCTAGAAATTTCCAGAATGCACTCATATCACAGCACAAGGAACAAGAAAACAATCACTTTTCTAGCATGACTGCGAACTGACCATGGACACGCTGATCCGATGAAGAGCTGAAGGCTTTGTGTATAGGCATAAACACTCATATGCATTTCGTTGAAAAACGTGGACTAGCGCTGGAGCAGGAGGAAGGAATAAACAAGCGGACGAACAGCTAGGTTAGCCAGTTCTTAGACCAGCTGGCTACCCTGTGCTAGGAAATGGGGTAAGGGAAGTAAAATATGACAGAAAAAGAGACGCCAGCTGAACACTGCTTACGTGCATAGTGACCAGCTGATTTCCACTATGTTTTTGTCTGCGGAAAAAATATGAAAGAGGTGGAGAAAGTGAATTAAAAAAGGCGTCGTAATGCTAATGGCTGATTTTCCATTTTTGATCAAAGCGAGAGAATTGTTGAAGAAATGCAGTTTTCTCCCTCTCAGCGACAAAGCTACACCTTCAATCAATCAAAAGAAAAGGCTCGCCAGTCACGAAACATTGAGTATTCGCAGGGGCCTGTATGCGAGGCATCGCTATGCATTCGCGCCTGTTTCGAGCTATATTCAGCGTTCGCGCAGAATTAACTGTCTACGCTTGCAGGTGCGCTCATTGTAACATCCCCCTTTGGTAAGAACGGCAGCTGAAATGCGCACTCCATCTGCCTTTCTCTTTCTCTCGTCTCCATTCACCATGACCTCACTCCTGCCAAACCTGAATGTTTACACTGAGTTTTCGGAGCTTTTCAGTCGCTTTTCCAGCGGAAGCTACAGGTCGCCAGCAGTTGCTGTATGCTTTTTTTGCTTCAATTTGTCCGGTCAGTCAGCTGTCCATACACGACAGACGAGGCACGATTTTTCATTGGCGCGACACGATTACGGTGTTCTTACACGCACACAGAAAACCACGAGAAACAGGTTGTCTTTTTTTTTCCGCAATGACCAGCGCGTATCGTTAAATAGGCAGCCCCCGGGGCAAGGTCGAATTACGTTGGTATTTCGAAAACGGGTGGCAATCTGCATAAAATATGCGACACTCGGATAAAACATTCGCGGCTTTTGCTGCCGAGCAGACAGGGCCTTATATTGTCAACCGTTTCGTCAACTCTCAGGAAAAGACCCACAATCACTAATTACACGCTCTGGAGATTCGCTCGTACGAGCTCTTTTCCACGAAGTATTGCCGAATTGCCTGCGGCCATATACAAGGCCCGAGGGGTGCCATCGATCACGGGCGAGGTACGCTTTGTGTGGAAAGAACGGCGAAATCTTCATTCAGGTCTGAAGTACGGAACGCGCGGGAGGCGCCACTAGCTCTGCCCCACGGGCGAATGCGAAGTGACGTGATCGGGAAGAAAACCGAGCCAGTTAGACGATCGCCACAGGAGAGGGTTAAGGTAAGATGTGGAGAGAGGGGAGATTGCGCGTGCAGCCGAGCGTGCAGTTTTCTTGAGCGGCAGATTTTTGTGGCGTTTTCTTGTTTTGTATTGTTTGGTGTTCCCTGAAGAGGAAGCGGGCGTTCGCTGATGTCGTGCACTCAGTCGCCCACAAACGCGCTCGGAAGGGACCCGCGTCAGCCAGGTTCGCGGCGTACGAGGTCTGTCATGGCTCGGGCTCATCGCGTCGCTTTCTGTGTGCTGCTTGCCGTCGGCTATTGCTTCGCCGCAGGCGACGTTATTACTCCCGAAAAATGCGGTGAGTCGGCAGGTGTGCCGCTTTCTTATTAATAATAAGGAAGTTGATTCCATTTTCTTCAACGTGTCGGAACTACTGTACGATGATGCATGCCCTTGTGTGTGAGCGGGTGGGAGCCAGGATTGGGGTTTGACCTACTGGGGTTCATTGATCTGAATCTAAACCTAAGAACATGGATGGCCCACCATGATAGAACAGTGATTATGATGCTCGACTGCTGAAAGATCGCGGGTTTGATTCCGGCCGCGGCGGTCACATTTCGACGGAAGAAAAACGGCTGAGTTTTGTGTATTGTGCGATGGGAGTGCAGGTTAAAAAAACACTAGATGGTCACAATTTCCGGAGCCCTACAATACAGTGTCTTCAATAATCATATCGTCATTTCGGGACCTAAAGCCCGATATAATATTAAGAACATGAGTGTGTTCTAATTTCGACTTCATCGAAGCGTAGCCAACGCGATCGAGAATCAAACCTAAGTTCTCTAGCTTCGTAGCGTGGCAGTTCATCTGTAGAGCTATCACGGCTGGTCTGTATCAGATGAAGGGAGCCGTGACAGAGATTGCCTAGAATGTTGTGTGGAAACAGAGATTCAAACCCAGTGCTGTACATGCGTTTGTTAAATGTATTTCACACAGAATTATTCCATTTTTCACATATATAAAATAAAACCGACCATAGCTAAAGTTGACCAATTTATTTAGGCGTCCACAGCAGCTCTGCGGACACAGCCTGCCAGCCATTCCAACGGCAGGTGGCGTCCTCAAAATTGTAACGGACGCTTAACTAAGTCTGTCTAATGTCGTGCTGCTAAGGACGTTATGATTTCCGGCTATTGTGAGGTTTTGTAATGCAAGCGCAGTGTAACAAAGTATGTGTTCTTCATTTGAGCACGTGGGAAAAAGTCACAGGTGTTCAATATTATTCTGCTTTCCTCCACCTCATGGGTTTCGTAACCATGTCATAGTTTCGACACGTAAAACCTTGCACATTTATGTTAAAACGAAAACGCTATATGCGTTGAGTGTAAGCTGTGGCCTCACAGCGTGCACAAAACACAGAATGTATGAGGCTGTGTACGCTTAGTGTTCTCCATGAGTGCTTGCTATTCCGACTATGTTGTTGGGACAAGAATGCTGTGAGAAGCGCTTACGTGTGAAGAGTCGTCTGCTGGCCTTTTTGTGCGCCAGGTGTTACGCTTGGTTTTAATTTACACAAGCAGCGCAATACAAGCATGACAATTTCTGCAATATCAGGGGAGGCTCAAGAAGCGCAGCTGGTCAAGATCATCCAGAACCACAGACTTCGGCATCTCAGCCTGAGCCGCTTTGGGAGGTTAAAAAGCATAAGCCATCCAAGGAAAACTTGGCCAACGCTGGATGACTCCTGGCGAATTGTTTTTGCGGTATAGTGTTTTCTCGGTGTGCCGTTGAATGTCTGTAGCACTCGTAACAAGCATGACGAGTTTAGCAACCAACTGCTCGGCTGAACCCTACATTTAAAGTACACTCAGTAGCGCTATGTGCGGAAATAATTGTACGACAATAATTAAGATGTTAGAAGGGCAGCCCAACAAGGTAATTTGTACACCAGTCTTACTAACGTAAAAAAAGTAAATCATTACGGGGAATATGCATGAAACTTGCAAATGAGGCAAAGGCTGAACACTGCTTACGTGCATAGTGACCAGCTGATTTCCACTATGTTTTTGTCTGCGGAAAAAATATGAAAGAGGTGGAGAAAGTGAATTAAAAAAGGCGTCGTAATGCTAATGGCTGATTTTCCATTTTTGATCAAAGCGAGAGAATTGTTGAAGAAATGCAGTTTTCTCCCTCTCAGCGACAAAGCTACACCTTCAATCAATCAAAAGAAAAGGCTCGCCAGTCACGAAACATTGAGTATTCGCAGGGGCCTGTATGCGAGGCATCGCTATGCATTCGCGCCTGTTTCGAGCTATATTCAGCGTTCGCGCAGAATTAACTGTCTACGCTTGCAGGTGCGCTCATTGTAACATCCCCCTTTGGTAAGAACGGCAGCTGAAATGCGCACTCCATCTGCCTTTCTCTTTCTCTCGTCTCCATTCACCATGACCTCACTCCTGCCAAACCTGAATGTTTACACTGAGTTTTCGGAGCTTTTCAGTCGCTTTTCCAGCGGAAGCTACAGGTCGCCAGCAGTTGCTGTATGCTTTTTTTGCTTCAATTTGTCCGGTCAGTCAGCTGTCCATACACGACAGACGAGGCACGATTTTTCATTGGCGCGACACGATTACGGTGTTCTTACACGCACACAGAAAACCACGAGAAACAGGTTGTCTTTTTTTTTCCGCAATGACCAGCGCGTATCGTTAAATAGGCAGCCCCCGGGGCAAGGTCGAATTACGTTGGTATTTCGAAAACGGGTGGCAATCTGCATAAAATATGCGACACTCGGATAAAACATTCGCGGCTTTTGCTGCCGAGCAGACAGGGCCTTATATTGTCAACCGTTTCGTCAACTCTCAGGAAAAGACCCACAATCACTAATTACACGCTCTGGAGATTCGCTCGTACGAGCTCTTTTCCACGAAGTATTGCCGAATTGCCTGCGGCCATATACAAGGCCCGAGGGGTGCCATCGATCACGGGCGAGGTACGCTTTGTGTGGAAAGAACGGCGAAATCTTCATTCAGGTCTGAAGTACGGAACGCGCGGGAGGCGCCACTAGCTCTGCCCCACGGGCGAATGCGAAGTGACGTGATCGGGAAGAAAACCGAGCCAGTTAGACGATCGCCACAGGAGAGGGTTAAGGTAAGATGTGGAGAGAGGGGAGATTGCGCGTGCAGCCGAGCGTGCAGTTTTCTTGAGCGGCAGATTTTTGTGGCGTTTTCTTGTTTTGTATTGTTTGGTGTTCCCTGAAGAGGAAGCGGGCGTTCGCTGATGTCGTGCACTCAGTCGCCCACAAACGCGCTCGGAAGGGACCCGCGTCAGCCAGGTTCGCGGCGTACGAGGTCTGTCATGGCTCGGGCTCATCGCGTCGCTTTCTGTGTGCTGCTTGCCGTCGGCTATTGCTTCGCCGCAGGCGACGTTATTACTCCCGAAAAATGCGGTGAGTCGGCAGGTGTGCCGCTTTCTTATTAATAATAAGGAAGTTGATTCCATTTTCTTCAACGTGTCGGAACTACTGTACGATGATGCATGCCCTTGTGTGTGAGCGGGTGGGAGCCAGGATTGGGGTTTGACCTACTGGGGTTCATTGATCTGAATCTAAACCTAAGAACATGGATGGCCCACCATGATAGAACAGTGATTATGATGCTCGACTGCTGAAAGATCGCGGGTTTGATTCCGGCCGCGGCGGTCACATTTCGACGGAAGAAAAACGGCTGAGTTTTGTGTATTGTGCGATGGGAGTGCAGGTTAAAAAAACACTAGATGGTCACAATTTCCGGAGCCCTACAATACAGTGTCTTCAATAATCATATCGTCATTTCGGGACCTAAAGCCCGATATAATATTAAGAACATGAGTGTGTTCTAATTTCGACTTCATCGAAGCGTAGCCAACGCGATCGAGAATCAAACCTAAGTTCTCTAGCTTCGTAGCGTGGCAGTTCATCTGTAGAGCTATCACGGCTGGTCTGTATCAGATGAAGGGAGCCGTGACAGAGATTGCCTAGAATGTTGTGTGGAAACAGAGATTCAAACCCAGTGCTGTACATGCGTTTGTTAAATGTATTTCACACAGAATTATTCCATTTTTCACATATATAAAATAAAACCGACCATAGCTAAAGTTGACCAATTTATTTAGGCGTCCACAGCAGCTCTGCGGACACAGCCTGCCAGCCATTCCCAACGGCAGGTGGCGTCCTCAAAATTGTAACGGACGCTTAACTAAGTCTGTCTAATGTCGTGCTGCTAAGGACGTTATGATTTCCGGCTATTGTGAGGTTTTGTAATGCAAGCGCAGTGTAACAAAGTATGTGTTCTTCATTTGAGCACGTGGGAAAAAGTCACAGGTGTTCAATATTATTCTGCTTTCCTCCACCTCATGGGTTTCGTAACCATGTCATAGTTTCGACACGTAAAACCTTGCACATTTATGTTAAAACGAAAACGCTATATGCGTTGAGTGTAAGCTGTGGCCTCACAGCGTGCACAAAACACAGAATGTATGAGGCTGTGTACGCTTAGTGTTCTCCATGAGTGCTTGCTATTCCGACTATGTTGTTGGGACAAGAATGCTGTGAGAAGCGCTTACGTGTGAAGAGTCGTCTGCTGGCCTTTTTGTGCGCCAGGTGTTACGCTTGGTTTTAATTTACACAAGCAGCGCAATACAAGCATGACAATTTCTGCAATATCAGGGGAGGCTCAAGAAGCGCAGCTGGTCAAGATCATCCAGAACCACAGACTTCGGCATCTCAGCCTGAGCCGCTTTGGGAGGTTAAAAAGCATAAGCCATCCAAGGAAAACTTGGCCAACGCTGGATGACTCCTGGCGAATTGTTTTTGCGGTATAGTGTTTTCTCGGTGTGCCGTTGAATGTCTGTAGCACTCGTAACAAGCATGACGAGTTTAGCAACCAACTGCTCGGCTGAACCCTACATTTAAAGTACACTCAGTAGCGCTATGTGCGGAAATAATTGTACGACAATAATTAAGATGTTAGAAGGGCAGCCCAACAAGGTAATTTGTACACCAGTCTTACTAACGTAAAAAAAGTAAATCATTACGGGGAATATGCATGAAACTTGCAAATGAGGCAAAGGCTGGACATTTCCTCTCTCGGTAAAGCAACGCATGAGTGTATGACGCTGAACTGGCCTAAATTTAGAAATCATTTGGTTTGGGAGTTTGGGAACAGGTCCACAAACCTTTACAATGCGAAACATATCTCAGCGAACTTCGGCAGTTTTTAGCGTATCTATCTATCTATCTATCTATATCTATCTATCTATCTATCTATCTATCTATCTATCTATCTATCTATCTATCTATCTATCTATCTATCTATCTATCTA